CGGTACAACATATACGGCGTGTTAGTTATCCCCTTTTTATATTCTAACTAAGTAGTACTAAATAATAATTAATATAATGCTAATGATACGTAAAAAGTACTATCAACAATTGTTACTCTTCGTTGCGGTAATTTTTTCCGTGATAGATAATATGCTATGTTTTCTGAGGTCGGTAAAAAAGAAAGCTGGGAGAATGTAGCGTACCTGACGGGTTACTCTTACCCGGGCGCTTCGATAACGACTGCACTTCGAGTACAACTCCAATTACAACTTTTCCATTAAATTTTTTGGTATTGAATGTAAATTGTTTTTTATAGCAATAAAACTACTTTTTGCGCCTTCTAACCTAAAAGTAGCACCTTCGCCGCTTGATTTCGGGTTCTCAGGCGGAAAAATAGTATACGAAACTCGTTCGAAAAAACTTCTTTACAAACCTCGATACGGCCCTCACCTTCGGCTCGTGCCGTAAACCTCTCGGTTCGTAAATCGAAGCCTTTGCAAACTCGTAAGCAATTTACTATTCGGACTTCTGCGAGTTTTTTTACTTTGACATTGATTCGCCGTGAAACTGAAACGCTATGTTTTTTGAATTATTTTTATTTTGTATCAACGCATTATTTTCGTTAGCTGATGGGAGTATAATAAATGTGTAAATTAGATGAAAAAAAAAAAAAAAAAAAAAAAAAAAAAAAAAAAAAAAAAAAAAAANAAAAAAAAAAAAAAAAAAAAAAAAAAAAAAAAAAAAAAAAAAAAAACTGATGTATTTTTTGATTTTTTGCCACATAATGGAGATTAACTACAGAGTTATCACTATTATTTATACATAATACCAACATGCGGTACTGACATTGTGTTTTTTCAACAGGTTGTAGCAGAAACATTTGGAGGGGCAGTTAGCCAAATCATATGCAATTAAGTCGTCCAGAATGGTTGGAAGTTCGAGGATTTAAGGATTAGATAATCTTGTTAGCTTACAGAACAAAATTTTATTGTATTGTGTGTGAAAAATAAAATACAAGTCTCACTTCACAGGGTTAAAACGTCATGCTCGAAGTAACAAACATTACAAGGACGCTGGACTAACAGAATCACATCCCGACTCATATTTTATACTACCAGAAAAGAAAAAGTCCATAGAAGCGAGAAAAAACCCGTCAATGAGCTAAAGTTCGTGGCAATGCTTGTTGTGCGAAGCATTCCTTGTTACAGAGCACCTTCTATGATGCAAACTTTAAAGGCTTTTGATCCTACTTTTGTGTGTGGGAATCTTTGCAAGTCAAGCCTCTAAAGCCCATGCTATTTGCATCAATGTGATTAGTCGTTTGGAAAAAAAATTGCTTAGCACAGATTTAGAACACAATACAGAGATAGAGGAACGCTTATTTTAATATTTTAGTATACGAAGCGACTGATGTCAGTAAAAATAAGACTTTTGCAATGCTAGTTCCATTTACCGATCCAGTTGATGGCCGCATAAAAGAAGCTCTGTGGGAGTCAGCACCAGTGTTTGAGTTGAACAAAAAGGCGGATGCAGGATCAGCTCGATTATTTGAAGTTATAGAGAAATCTTTTGGAAATTACAACATCCCATTAAATAATATTATGTCCGTAACTTTCGATGGATGTCCAACAATATCAGGTCGGCGGACCGGCTTGAGAGCACGTATAGAAGAAGCCATTTCTGATGTGATTTGTAGTGTATGCCCGGCGCATATTACACACTTAGTCATACGACACGCTATGACATTTTTACCAGATGAGTTGAAATCTTTGATTAATAATTTTTATAGTGTTATAAATTTTTCTTCAAGAGCACATAACTTATTAAATAAACAAGTACATCTTAACTATCCAAAGCATACAATACTTTGATGGATTCAAGTACGCTGGTTACAATTAGAATTGTGTGTGAACTGCAATTTAGAGCAATGGAATATAATATTAGAAATAACCAAAGAACTAGCAACTAAAGGAGATGAATGAGTGAATGAATTACTTGCACAAATGCTGGAAAGAGAAAATAAATGTTTTCTAATTATGCTACAGCGTATTCTGCCTTTTGTTAACAGATTGAATTAATTTTTCCAAGACAATAGCGTAGTAATTCAAGAAGCTGAACGCCGGATCGAAGAATGTTACAAATGTATTATATCTTTCTTTATGACAAGAGCATACGTAATCAATACTCCTGCAAAAGTTATAGATTTATTCGATGATACACACTATTTGGCATATGCTGATTTTGACTTGGGAGAGGAGGTCAGACATTTCATAGTATTATGTAGTAAAGAGTCAGAATTCTTCTGCAAAACAGCATGTAATTTCTTAATTTCTATCGCATTGGAAATACGCCAAAGGTACGTTGATCACATAAACTTAAAGAAGAAAAAAATTCTTGATACTATGTGTCATGACAAATAAAAAAAAAGATGGCAAAAAATCGCCTAAAGTAGGATTTTTACCCTGGCTAGGTAAAAATAATGTATAAAAAACCACTGTTAACCCTATAGTGTCTACATAAGAAAAACATTAAATTTTGTAGTAATAAGTAGGCATCTGATAGGTGCATGAGTGTGAAAAAATTTTAGATAACAACTACTGTTTGTTTTTAGGTTTATAGAATTTAATAATTCTCTGTATAAAGCCGCTTCTTTCTTGGATCCTTGCAACGCTGTGTCCTTCGAGTTTGCTCCCAAGGACCCATTGTTTTGATACTTTTTTAAATGTTTTCTAAAAATTAGTTGGGAATGAAAATTTGGCCAAGATATTACGGACGCAATGGGAGAAACTTTCAACATCAAAACACTTTACTGACATAGATGTCAAAAAAGTTAAAATTAACGATTTCTGGTATTATGCCAACATATTATGTAATGAAAAGGAATGTTATCCATTCCAAGAGCTAGGTTCAGTCTGTTTATCAGCAATGCCAATTCCTTACTCAAACGTACTTCCAGAAGTAAAATTTAGCAAAGTGAAATATTTTAAAACAGACAGACGAAGTTGTCTAAATGCTCGTAGTGTAGATGGGATAACAGTAGCTCGTGAAACAATTAAAAATATGGAGAAGAAAATTTCGATCCTCCACAGGGAATGATTGATTTGTTACTTGAAGGAAATTATTATTATAAGAATTCAGAATGCAAGATTACCTGTATAGAATATAAAGTATGTAATTGGCCTTGATAGGTGTGCCTAGCGACACATAGTGGCCATGTATGGTACTGAGATAATCAGGTGATTAGAATGAAATCATCATTACAAACCACTTTAAAATAACAAAAAGACAAAATAAAAGACTTTGACAGGAGCGAAAAAAGTGCTTGAGTGTACAATAACAATGTGAAGTTAGTTTTTTCGGTTGTCTCATGATCATATTAAAAGAAAACAACGAATAAACCTGCACTCGTTGGGTTACGTTTTCATTAACGTTCGTAGCTGCAGCTCTTCAAGACGGTCAGTAACTGTCAGTAATCGTTTCTGACGCTACTGTTTACGAAAATACAACCTAACGGGTGCAGATTTATTCGTTGTTTTCTTGTGATATGATCATGAGACAACTCAACATTGTTATTGTAAACTCAAGCACTTAAATCACTTTTTTCTCTCCTGTCAAAGCCTATTATTTAGTCTTTTTGTTATTTTAAAGTGGTTTGTAATGATGATTTGATTCTAATCACCTGGTTATCTCAGTACCATACTTAGCCACTATGTGTCGCTAGGCACACCTAACAAGGTAAATTAACTCAAATGTATTTTTTGCAATTAAATCGCTTATATTTATATTATGTACATGTACATTAACAATATATTGGTCACTTTTAATAAGAAAATGTGTTCTGTGTATTCTTAACAATATTCGCACTTATAATAAGTAAATATGTTATTAAAAAAATGTGTAGAGTTTAAATATTTATTTTTCCAAGTATATATACATTTAAAGTTTACAGCTACATACATGTAATAATTAAATAATGAATTAAAAGCTTAAATCGAAGTGGAAGTATTGAACTGTTCAATAAACAAGACGTGCAAAATGAATGATCAATTATGTTGATATAATATGTCGTTCTATAAATTTTCTTATACAATAAGTAGTAACTGTAATTTTTTTAGGAGTTTGTATAGTTTGAACTAGTTTAAAAGAATAATTTTAGTAATTAACATACCGTCCAATATGCCCTAATATTTGTTAACGCTATTGCGATATCACTATGTAATAGTTTAGTGCATGTAAGGTTTCATATACATATTAATATCTTAGCCCCGGTAGGTAAATCAGAAAATGACCATGGGCTGTGTTTCATGATTATAGAAATAATTATTTGGTGACTTTTTTTAAACACTAACATAAAATTTTCCATTGCTTTTAAAATTTAATTAACATGTTCTTGCCTAATCATTGATTATAATTTACTTTACTCATTTAATTCAAATGGTGTTATCCAAGATACTATGGGTATTGTACTAAAGGATAAAATTAAAAGGAAAATTATTTTGGATTATAATGTTTCATAATAATGATTTACAACTGTGCATATGGCGTAAAAACAATTTTTCTAACAACTCAAAAACAATTTTTGTTTGTACTTTTTTGAAATTTTTCACTTCATAATTCACTGCAATCGAGAGCACTGATTTTGACTCACATGCTTTGTGTACACACACTCCAATATATATACACACACATATCCATACTTGAAACTAACATTCCCACTTGTAAATACATAAATAAACTTTTTAGAATTTTTTCGCACACCAGAGAAAATTAAAGATTTCTTTGAAAACACACTAATACATTTACAATTGATGCTACACGGAAGTCACTAAAATTGAACAAAGAAAAGCTAGTGATACATGTTTGTGCATATTTGTATGTATGTACATATATATAATATACATATGAAATAATAGAAAATTTGAAGTCAACTTGCACATAAATAATACAAATAAGAAAATTTTCTGTATTGATTAATTTAATAATATGTAAAGATGCTTACCATCAGTTCTTTTAATATTCACACTATTTCCAGCTTCGATTTTACAAATAGGTTCCATATTTTAAGTGTGTAAATTGTAATAAGGATCAAATAAGAGGACTCAATTTACTAATAAAAAGAAGTATTCGAATTTTCATAATCAGTAAGGAACTCTTTTGTAAAATCTTGTGAAATACCTAATATCTGTCCAACATTTTATTCAATAAAATACCAAAGTTCAGTTTACTCAAACAGTACATGAGCAGTTAGACACACAATAAATCTTTATCTGGAAATACATACACAAAATTTTCGATGAAGCAAAATTAGACAAAAAAAATTACTTTAGAAGTGTCATTTGTAAATTATTGGGACAACTATTCAAATGAAAATAAAAGTGGCTGAAACTACCTAAAGAAACACTAACTATAACCTATTTAAACAATGCATTTGTAGAACAAAAATTTTTGAAAGTCTCGCATGAAATATTATTTTACGAAATATTTCACTGAATTTGTATGTCTTGTTTCATAGACAAGTAGGTCTATGTTTTGTTATGTCCGACATCACTACATGAACGAAGGGTTTTGACACGAAGACAAACGTCAACACAACGGTATTATCACGATATTCATTATTCACGGTGATAGAAGTATGGTACTAACGTTACGGAGTGACCAGATTTTGTGAAAATTTTTTAATAATTCCATCACAAAATTACTTCATTACTAATAAACATAAATACTTAACAACAATAAACTTAATAACAATAAACTACCTCTAACAGCGTATGACTGAAGAACCGCAAAGAGATACATTTGCTAACAAAAGCACTTTTTGTAAGCAAAACTTTTTGTCACGTAGAACGTGGACGGTTATTCAAATATTAGATATAGAACAAAACTCTATTGGAACCGATGTACATAAGGCCCTACAATCCGACAGATGGCGTACTGTAGCTAAGAGTGTAGGGTTTTTGTCCCACTATATATATATATGTCGTCGTGGGAGAAGGTGCTGGAATGAGCAGAGAGACCACAAGGTCACACTCATATACAAATATGAGTGTGTGCTTTATTTACTATTATTACATGTGCGGCTCGGACTCGAGCTCGGCAAGGACTGAAGTCGTCAGTAAGCGGTTACACCGCACGACTAGTATAGAGTGGGGGTAAGCCCCTACAGTACTCCCCTCAAGTTTGAACGTAGTTAAAACTTACAAACGGTCTTGTACCAAAATATTTACAATTTTTAAACGTGTACAAACAAAATTTTACGAGGGTGAATACATTGCATGTCGCAGACAAATAGATTTCAATAAGGTATCTGATCGGTCTTACAACTCTTCAGATCATTTTTAAAACAACCAGTTTCGTATTATTACATAAACAGAACACTTTTAAAATCAGCCTGCACTGCGGCACACACATCAGTTACAAAACATTGTCAATTTAATAATACAAAAATTATTGAGCGCTGCTACTATTTTTTACAAAAATACATACAAACATTAGAAAAAAAACAAAATAATGAGCAACAGCGCCTCCCTTAAAGAGGTAAAATATCGAGCTTTCGTAACAATGCTTAAAACAATTAGGCTCGAATTATAAGCTTGCCATTGGTTTACGCGCGTGTCAATATTTATCGTATAACCAAAACCATAAAAGGGAATTACAACGCTTAGCCATAACAATGAGAGCTGTTATAATTGGGTTATACGGACATCAGTCTTTTATACAATACAAAAATTGGACTAGAAATAAAGCTATCACATTAATTTGGCTAAAAATTATGCACAAAAATTAAAAACTAACTTATCAGATGTCAACAAATTATCTTAAAATGACACAGCGCTCCGAACCATATAAATAAAATTCAAGACAAGACACAATTAAAGTTCAAAATAATACTGATAATTAAACTATGGTCCTTGTGACGCCACTCAATTAAATCAATTAATTAGTTGCGCTAACTTTACCGTAAAACAATTTAGTTGCACA